ATAGAGTCTATAACTCTTATAGATGTATTTAATAAATAAACATGATTCAATATGTTACAACATCGAAGAAAAAATTATAACTGGAAAACTTTTTTTTTTCATAAAACATGGACCGGTGCAAATATTTCGTAGAACTTTCTATGGACAAAACTATGTATACCGCAGCATTCAAAAACAGGGAGTGTACGGTTTTACTGTGCTGCTTAATCACTGATTCAGTAATTGTATGTCCGTAATCTGCATCGAATTCAGTAAAAAGTTGTTCGATGTTTAAAATAAATGAAAATCAACCCATGTCAAATGAAGTAAATTCCATGGGGGGTTTTAAAACGTCGAAAAATGAAAATTTAATTTTAAAGAAGAAGAAAATTCTATACAGAATCAATGGCTTAGAAGGTGGCGTGTAATAATATTATTATTCATCAAATACATAATTAAAATATTGAATATGTAATAAATTTTTCAATATAAATGCTATACATTGATGAATATACTAAAGAGAATTGACTTTCGTATTCTATCACTCTTATTATATCGATGTTCGATCGTAAGACAATCACTTATTTAAGCCAAATAGTCTCATGTAGTGTATTCGGTTTCAATTTAGATTTCAACGTGTAATTTATGGTCGAATCGATTTCCTGTTGGCATATACATGAGGTATGATGATAAGAAAATTCTCGATTCTATTTGCTCAATTAACGAATTCCATTTTCTATTTATTGCGACAAATAACGAATATTTCCTGTGGCATGCAATTGAAATCTATCTTCTATCTTTGGCAGACTAAGAGAACTTGATGCCAAACATCCAACAAATCCATGTTATTCGGTTTGTCGAAACTGACAAAAGTGATGGTTGTATTGTTTGAAAGGGAAATAAACGATTTTCAAAGTTGATTAAATTGAAAACGTGGCCACAGAAACCATTTGAAAAGCCATCAAAAGTAAAACCAATTTTTGACATTAGCACAGTTACCACGAAATGTAGTCACATCAGGTCTTTTTTTCTTTCAAAAACATGTCATCCGATACTATCAAATGTCAAACGACCAAATGTGCTCGCCGAATTTGCCAGAAGAACACTTAACATACACAGAGAACGAGATGTTAAGTGCCCACATAAAAAGGAATAAGTAGAGGTGAGTCGAGTCTGTGTGAGAGAGAAAGAGAGCGAAAACCAGAATAAGAGTTGATTGATGCACTAGATTCAGTTTTGGAGACAATGGCTGATCCGAAAAACACATGTACAAACTTTCGCCGTGAATCATTGTATTCGTAATTGATTTGGCACACACTCCACTCAACACATGAATAGAGATTCAATTTCAAGTGAATTTTTTTGTTTCTTTTTCATTTTGGTATGCGTTCGGCTGCCAATTGTTGTATGCCATTGCCTGCAGATAACTACTGAATCATATCAACAAACTTGAAATTGTTTGAAACACATCGTTTTTTTATGCTCACAATTTCGTCCGGTTAACACAATGAAATCTATTCATCATACCTAGTTGTGAAAAAAAGACAGCCTAAAATCAGCATCGAGAGTATGAACTGGAACACAGAATTAAACAGAGAAAAAACAACAACGATTTTACTTTTTATATTTTGCGTTCCATATTTTTTTTTGTTCATGTTCAACTTTCATCGCACGTTATCTCGGGCATTCCAATTTAAATTTCGGCGCGCGGAAATTTGCACGAACAACAATGATTCTCGCTTCGACAAGAGATAATACCAAAGCGTACAGGCGAAAATGTATTAAACCATGCACCAATGTTGTATATTTTCGCGCGTGCATGTACTGAGTCTATGTGACGGGTTTGTATCAAAGCCATCCGTGGAAAATATGAACTCATCGCCGCCGCAATTAATTCGATCCGTTTCGCTATCGCAACGAATGCGCTAGTAAATAGAAGCGAGATTTCATATCATTCGAAATGAAAGCAGAAAACACAAAAATGCGACACGTAAATTCACTTTGTCGAAATGGTAAAATGGACATACACAGAACGATGTGTATTTGTATTTGAAAAGTATGCAAAAACCGGCAACAACTACACTACAAGAAAAAAAGATACGGACATATATAAGGCTATAAATGGCACTGCATTCGTATTGCAAAAACTCATTAAATCATGATATTTCTGCTTAATGCCGCTTTCTTTTCAATGCTCCAATTCTGATTCTGGTTCTGGGCTCGATTTTTGGTTGGTTTCGACATCAAATTATGAGCATGTATGCACGTATTGATTGTACAATTGTACATAATACCGAAAGTTGTCAGTATATCTGCACATTTATGCCACGTTCCAATGTATGGGGATACGATACATTTTGAATAATGTAGTGTGTGATCAGCGATAGCTGACTGTGGATATTCGTATGCATACGGATATTATTGCACATTGATCCGTATGATTCGGTAAATTCGGTCATCAATACAAGCGCACATTGAGAAGAATTTTTGTAATTTATCTTTGGCCAAAGGTGATATCGATTCGTCGAGATAATCGCCAATATGCTTAGATTTGTGAGCGAATAAAATCAACGAGAAAGAAAAAATAATTCTAATTCCGAAGTTTCAATTTAAAATGAAAATAATTTTGCTTTGTTCGACAAAGCACACAGAGAGTGGGATAGAGAGGGAGATAGATTGAGAGCGAGATGGAAAACAAAAAGCGAAACACAACAGAAAAAAGTCGTTATTTGGTACACACAGTATAAAGTACAGAAAGAAGCTAAAAAAAAGCCAAAGGTACGTGCCAGATGAAATGGAGAGAGTGAAGAAAACAGAAATTGTAATCATTTTCATGAACCCAGAAGTGATGCAGCAGCAGCAGCAACCAGCAACGTACAAATTCGAATCAGAACAAGAAGATAAGAAGACAAAAGAGAAACAATCGAAAACATGTTTGAAGAGCTGAAGATCAACTTTTATTTGAGATTTCTGCTTTCTGTTTTTCTTGTACCGTTGTGTTGTGGTGTTTTGTGGTTTTATTTTCGTCGTTTTGTTACGTTCATTCGTTTGTTGTTTCGTTGTCGTCGTTTGAAACTTTTTCCTATTACTCTGGACCAATCCGTTGATGGAATGTGCTCGGTTGTGTATTCCATGGTGCTGTGTGTTCTTTATTTTTTCTTTATTTCTCGTTTGCTTTCGTCAAATGTGCAGAGTATACACCGCTAATGCGCTGTTCAACATATTCTGGCCATTATTTGTGTTGATTTCGTCTTTGGATTCGTTTCATGTTCGTTTGACCGTACTAAGTACGACCAGAAAAAAGAGAGAGAGAGAGCGGAAGAGAGAACATCGTTGGAATATATTGGTATTTACAAGATGCGGTTTTGTGACACAGTGCACGTATAAAACTTAGATTATTACAATCGAAAGCGAACGAATAAGTGAATGAATGACTGAGCAAGATAGGGATTTCATTTCACATTGTCGATGAAAAATCCATGTTCACAATTTGAATTGTGCGTTTTTCTATTGAATGCACATTCTATTCCCGTATTTCACATGCATTCGGCTCCGTTTACCATTGGTTATGTTGTTGATGGTTGTAGCTGTTGCCTGCCTTTTTATCATTCAAAATCAGATCAACATGAACATTGAAGTGTATTTATAGAACAAACTGTAAGAATTAAATTCAATCGTTGAAGAACGAAAGATTTTGTGCCATATAGAAAATGTGCGGACAAATAGTTTTGGAATGAGTTTAAGTAGAAAAGCATTACACAAATGGTTTGAACAAAAACCGAATCAAATGATGGCCGTTTGGTCTTTGTCGATTGGAATCGAATCAAATCTCGAAAGTAAATAGCGACTAAAGCGCAAAGATATGGAAAAATACACATACTTAAAATGGCAGAGAAAAAAAAACAGTATTAAAAAACAACAGCAAAAAATCCCGATCGAATGAAACTCTCAACACAAAACTTCGATAGAAAATCGAAGCGACGAGTGAAAAACCTGCATAAAACAAACAAAAATATGCTTGACAAAGAGAGAGAGGGGGGGAGAGAAACAATACACAAAGATTCTCATGTCTATACAATAAAATACGTGCACACGTGAAACGACGGATGAACACGCTGAGCAAATAGGAAAACTTCAAATAGATTGAAAAAATATCGGGATTGTTGAAAGCAAACAAACGAAAAACCAATGAGTGAAAGAATATATATATGAGCTAAAGGTATCAAGAAAAAAAAGAGTTTGAAATACACGACAGCTCACCGCTACATTCCACGCAGCATGCATGCAGTCCGCTTGAAGTGGCCATATACAAACAACATATGAGAGCGTGTTTTTCCCTCATTTTTATGTTGTCGTCGCTTTTTTCTCTCGCTCTCATGTTCATTGCTGAGAACAAGCACATTTGAAGTGGACTTATGGATGAAAACATAACAGTTGAAAACTGCGATGCAACACACAAAGCTTGTTATTTAATTATGATGTGATTTTGTTGTCGGTGCGTTTGGTGCGATTGCATTCCATGATAGAGAGACGCTAACACACACACATACACAATATCGAATACATAACCAATATAAATGAAATGCCGGTTGTTGGTAACATTTTTTTGTGTTTGTTTTTTTCCTAAAACAATTCCAATTCATTGTATTATGATTATTATTTTTATAACAACAAGTCTCCGTTGGGAATGGTAATGGTAAAATGCTTAAAAAAGGTTACCTGACTTCAATGAACTTTCAACACATGTACACATAATTTCCGTTAAAATTGCTGCGTTTTCTACTTGATTTTCTTTTCTATGTTCGTTCAAATTGTAATTGAGTCATTATAGTTACACCCATGACGTGCGGTTTACTATATGTGTGTGTGTTTTTTGTTTCTCTTTCTGTAATTTTGATATTTGTCCTGCTTTCCATCGCAATTGTCTTCTAGCCAATTGTCATATAATTCATTCAAAAAACTACTTATATTCAAATTCAAATGATTAATGTAGAATAATTCGGTCTTGATTTTTTTTACAGTTGAAATTCTCATGAAGTTGGTTCCCATACACTGACCTGCATTTAAACTGAAAGAGGTGACATACACCGAAAAGAAGCAACAAGCTACAAAAAAAGAAGACAATAGAATTATTGAAGATAGAAAAAAAGAAACCCAGAGACACACTCAAGATGGACACGGTTTATGGCACAAAAAAATATTTCCAGAGTCTAGGCGATAACGATTACTACAACAGACATTCATCGTCGACAAATCGCGTCATGGTAAGTTTTTCGACAGACTATTTAATTTGTTTGATTTGCTTAGAGGAGAAGGGGGGAGATCAAAGCTTTCAAAGGATTCAAAAGTATTTAATTTATGATGTTCAAATCAAAAAAATTCGAAGAAATTCGATCCATTATTTTCTTTTGGCTTTTGAAACAATATGACAACGGTTCTCAGACATTTCCATTTCAATAAAAAAAATCAACGTTATGTAACGCATCTTTCATAATTCTAATAGCAATCTGTCTATACATATTAAAGCTTACCGGAATGGCATTCTGACTCTACAAAATCCAAACGAAAATATACATTTTTTAGCATCTTAGTGACGGTGCAGCAGCAGCAGCACGGCACCATCAGAAGAATATACCCACATTCCCATTTTTAGGTAGTCAAGTGTCTTTCCATCAAAACCTGAAAGACAATTTAATACACTCGATAATTCGTTCAATTTGATTACGTATATAAAAATCTAAGCGCTTCACTGATGATTAAATGATGTTGCATTTATTCTGGTCGCTTCTTCGTTCCTTTTTCCATTTTGTATTTTTTTCTTTTATTATCATCATCATTTCTGTTGGTTTATTGACGTGCAAAGCGACTGAGATGATGGAAAGAGAAAAACAAGAAACACTTGCTTTATCGTCGCCACAGTATGCGTTTTTTTTTCTTCTTCATCTCAAAATGAAAAAGAAAAATGTATTGAATGTGAAAAAATAGCATTTCATCGCATGCCAATCGTAACCTGAAACGTTTTATACTAAAAAGAATATTGAAAAATGAAAAGAGATTCACTTTGGTACAGGCTCTTCTCGTACAAACAAAATACTCGCTATAAAGCGATGGAATTTTTTAATTTATACTCTCTCAATCTGAGATTCAATTCACTTCGACGTACACAGTTGAAATATACGCACAGTACTTTTTTTTGATATTTCTTACGTTTTTTTTTTAATGCCATTTTATATCGTATATAAGGTCATATTTTTTAATGTTGATTTACAATACAAATTGCTACAAAACCTGGATGGCTTTTAATTTATATTTTATGCTTTTTGTGATACGAAACAAAGATACGGCGGCAACAACAGCACAATAATGGGCAGCATCCGTCAACATTGTATCGAGCAGTGATTCTGGTTTTATTTTGGAATGTGGCACGACTCAAGCAGAGACACACAGAGATAGGGAAAAAAAATATCGTACCTTTTGATGAATGTTGATTTCTACGTATAATTATGACGACGGGCGTTGATTGTGCGCGTCTTTCCTGAGCGTGAATATGAGCAAAGGGAAAAACATATATACACTTCACACAACATCAATAAAATGTAAATTGTTTGCTGGTGCTCTTCCCTTCGCTCATGTCGCGCAATTGAACAACAACAACAACAAAATATGAAACAAAAGTTTCAAGCACATGAGAGACATTGAGCCAAGAGTATAGAAGTTCAAGAGTATATGTTGTCAATGCTTTTAAGTCGAGCTGCACTAGAAATTCGTGCGAGAACATTTTTCAAATGGCTGTATCATTTTGGCTGTGTTTTTGAGAGCTACAAATACGCGCAATCAATTGATATTTAAAATGGCAATGTGTATTTTATGTTCCGTTGTGGAAAATATGTGCGCCAGTGACAATGTGAGAGAAGAGCATGCACGCAAGCATCGATTCAATTGAATTCTCTTTTGATTTTTCCATTTCTGGTGAAAAGCTAATTTGAATACGAATTTCCATTGAATTAAATTTCTTTTCTCGTCTTTCTTCTCGCTTATTCGTCAGTTGAACGCGAACGACGGAACTGTCTTACCATTTTGGAAAAGTCACTTGACACGCACCAGATAAAATGAAATGATGCCGATGATACGACGACATTTTCATATAATATCACATGAAGTATATCTAGGTACTTCATATCTATTCGGTTCAATTTGTTAAATTGTCAATTGTCAATTGAATATTATTTGCTGACTGATTTTAAACTAAAGCATTGAGCACATCAACTTCGTTTTTTTATCTTCTTACAACATCTACATTGGGATCGCGACATCGACCTTTTTGACATTATTATCATCAAATGATTTTCGTCAAGAGTTTTTTTTTCATTATTTTTGTTCAATGAGAGTATGAGGAATGGCATTAGAAGACCATTATTACGAATCACAAAAATGAGCTGCTCAAAAATGTGACCAAGTGCTTGTTGCCATAGTACAATGGCGCTCTCTTTGAATGGCGCACCTTGACTTGTTTGATGTAATTAATGGCTGCTCAAAAATTAAGAGTATACATCAAATGCCATTATAATTTCCATCCAACTTTTTTTTCGATGTTATTGAACTCTGGGGGGAATTGAAAACGGGGTCCAAAATTTGTATTGATTTCGGTATTTATTTCATCATCATCATAATCAACCGAAAAACACATAAGAACAACGGCGTTATAACTCACATCACTCGGCCACATTACAGCTAATGTGCTGTTTTTCCTCTCTCGTTTGCTTGTTACGCCGAACCGAATCTCATTTAATTCTTTTGTATTTTTGTTTCACGTTTAAACAGCATAATTCTAAAGCGCCGGAATCTAATGTAAGAATTTTAGTCTAAACAAAACAAAAAAAATGTGATTACGTCGGAATTTTTCAGAATTGTATTTAGTCGGCATTGTTTTTCAGTGCCAGTCAGTCGTTTTATAATCTCTTTCGATTTTGAAATACCGTTAATTTGCTCAAATGAATTTTGTGCACAAGAGACAGAGACAATAATAAAAGCATGATTCGTCTTTCATTTCTTTTATTCGGATGATGATGGTGGCGGTGGTGCCGCTGCTGCTGAAGTTTCGCATGCGACGATTATAACACCATTTACAATGGTGAAGTCATTAAATGTCGAACGCGAAACGACGAAATATAATACATACACTAAAGTGCTTTCAGGCGATAAGCTGAAAACTCAATGTACTTAACAAGTGCTCTGCGCTCTTTGTAATTTGTATGCATGAGCCTATAATGCATAAACCGGTAATATTGAAAAGATCACATTGCTCTTCATCAAGTTAAGAATATAGAATGAAAAGCGACACGTCAGTATATCAAGCCAGCAGCAGAAGAAGAAGAAGAAAAAAATAGAGATAGAGGTGAGACGTTGTGCAAAAATAAACGATCATCTTCATTCATGTGCAATTCTTTTTCATCAACTTTCCGAAATGTTGAATTTTGAATTGTCAATGTTGATGTGTACGTTACAAGGGAACAATCACAACTGGTTCTTATACCGGATTTTGTTGAATGCATTTGTTGTTTTCTTATTTGAAATATTCGTATTTATTTCATTTCCAATACAAACATTAAATTTATACGTGTGCAGTGTTCCAGTCGACTGATGAATTTTATTCAAGACAAAATTACTCTCACTCTATTCGTCAGCATAGGCTTGAATGTGTTTAAGCCGCAATTCATGCAAAAAGATCAAATCAAGGAGCAACAAGAAAAAAATTCGTAATGTAAGCAACGAACAACAACAAAACAATCCACAACAAAACGAATAATGTCAAACATTATTTTTACGGAAACTTTTCTACGCAATTTAAATGACACATGAAAAACACACAGGCACATAAAATATAACCAGTTCATGCTACTTTATCGGCGATATTCTTTTTGTCTCGAATTCAAAAAAAAAAACTAAAAATCCGACATAAAGTGAAAAAATTCAGTTAAACTCATTTTGTTTTGTTTTAATTTTAATGACATTCTCTGTTCTAACTGCCAAACAAAGTTTTGTGCACACTTTTTTGCCTGTATGCTTTTGCCTCTCTCATTCACTCGCATCTCTTTCTCTGTTTTGTTTTCCTTTCTCTTCATTCTCGTGTGAATGAATAAGTTGGTTGATTTTTATGTTCTTGTTGGATGCTCTTTTTATTTTATTTTTTTAGTTGTGTTCTCGTCGCAATTTCGTCGCTTTGAAATTACATCTATTGAGCTGAAGGCGCAATGAACTTCAGCTTTTCATAGAATTTTTCGACGAAATCGCTGCTACTGTTGCCGCTGCAATTATTACTTTTTTTCTTCTTCTTGTTCCAACGTAATTTTTTGGCCGCCATTTCTTTTTTCATCATCATCATCGTTGACGTCGTTGTCGTTGTAGTTGCTGTATGTTTTTTTTTTTTGGTTTGGCGAAATTCTAAAATATTCCCCAGAACGAGTTAGTCGGCACTTATTCTAGCCTTACAGTCATAATTTGCTCTTGTGCACCAATGTTTCGCAATGCATTTCGGGGCGAAAATTGCAAAGTCATATTATATGTATATATGGCGTTGATGTTGCCATCGCTTTTGCTTTTGTTGTTAATTTTTTTTTGTTCGGCTGAAGAGAATGTGTGCTGATGCCGTTTATAATGAAAACTAAAAGCAAAAATTGCTTGCACATCTGATGCCTGTTTCGGTGGCCTCCTGATGCCATTGCTTCTTTTCAATTTCGTTTTGCAATTTTCGGCTCGGCGTTTCTAGCATGCTTTTGAAAATGGTGTACATCGGATTGAAAGTTTTGAGCAGTGACCGGTTCGCGCATATTTCTATGCTTGCCTAAATACGCTAGGTAGCATAGATATGCCAAGTATAGCCGCAAACGCAACCGACGCATCGCCGTTCACTCTATATGAACAATACACATGTTCGTTTATGCAGACGACCGTGCGCATACAATATAGCTCGAATCGAATGGTGACGGGTGCGTTGCGGCTTGCGTCTCCGCTATGCTTAGCATAGCTATCAGGCATAGAAATATGCGCGAACCGGTCACTGGTTTTGAGTGCGCGTGCATACAAAACAAAGACCAGTTGCAAACTCTGACAGAATATCAGCGCATAATCGACTCGTGCTGTTCGAATTGTGTCCCGTTTCACTACAGAAAACAAAGAGATCTCGTTTCACAAAAAAAAGACTTGCAATAGATTTAGTGGCCATTTTTTCTGTTTACTTTGAGAACAAAATGCCTTGAGGGCACAA